TGATCACGCCATTTTATGAAGTCTTCATTTCGGATTATTTTGCCATCAGCATTTCTTTCTATCCACCAGTTAGACAATGTCATTGAAATGTTGGATTTGAATCCAACCGGAAAATTGTGAGGTTCGCAAAGATCTGGATAAACTGTGACTGTGATGAGGTCGCCTTCCAGCAATGTCCGTTCCAAATTCAGGAAATTCTGGTAATCTGTTTTTTTTTAATGGACTGTTTTCAGATTTTGTCTGCTGCCTTTTCTTCGAAATTTACAATAATTATTTCACCTATTGTGGATGCTATGGATGAGCATAGTGTTAAAATCAACGCTGCACTTCCAACAAATGTTTTCCACTTTTTACACATTTTAAAACGTGTATCACTAATCAACTGCGGCTTCCAGTCAGGAATAGCCAAATATTTCGTGGACAGGTGCTCGCTTACTCATGAAGATAAGAGTGTTCCCGATAAAGAATGTCATTTCGATTCCAAAATAATTACAACAAGAGATGCTTTAATTTAGCTGCCATCATCCGCACGACTGACAATTTTTCTGAAATACTTTCGTATGACAATTTGAAAAAGGAATGTGACGGAAATTGTCTTCTCTTTTCTCACAGGTGCAATGAAAACATCAAAATGGCAAACTGGAATACATTCAAGATTTGAGTATCTTCCGCTTGGCGGAACGCGGAGTATTTCCTTTTACAGATCTTCGGGAAGACGTTGGTTCACTTTTCCTGAGTTCCTTTGTACGACGTGCCTCTCTGTCTCGAGCAATGACATGCATCTGTTCAGTCGTCGACAGAGCAAAGAAAATGTCGTGGAATTTTTCTATATCCGAGCGCATCTGCAGGATAGAATTTTTTTATATTTTGAAAACCGTCCAGTGCGTGTTTTTTATGAAAAAGAAAATGCTGACAAGTGATGAATAAAATTTCCTAGTATTTTTATATTTGCGACGAATTTAACCTCTAGTTTGTCACATCTATGAACCTCTGAAACGTGAACGAAGTTTCAAGCGTCATCTGAAAATTGATGGGTACCACGATGCAAGTGGAAGATAATAGAACTTCAATTGACCAATATTCCTACGTTTTCTAGGAATTCGTCCAGCGATGAGCTTCTTGCTTACAATAAGCAGTTCATTGCAATCTTCACGTGATGTCACGCAGAAAAATATTTGCGTGATAAGATTTTAACATGTTGAGCGAGATTATGCCGTGATTTCTTGATTACGTGTAAATGCTAGAAATGGCACCATTCAGGCAGTAAAAAATTAATTTAACATTAAATTATTGACCTTATTGATTCAAAATAGAGTCAAGTCCAGCAAAAAATTCAACCGTGGTCAGAAAATGACTCAGTATAAAAATACGTACATCGATTTAACAGAACTCCAGTGTCCAATTACAAAGCAATTGGACTAAACTTCAAAAGGGTCATACAGTAGTTACTTTTGCACTACCTGTGCATGTTTTTATTGTCGAAAAATCGGAATTAAAAAAAAATGGGGCATATCGTAGACAGATCCACGCATTAATCTTTTCGTTGATCCTCTTTTTCTCAAAATATATACATCAGTTGTAACTCTACAGTAAATATGACATTTGAATTCATATTTTCCTTCCTACTGCAGCCCTATAAAATCTTTTTGAATGATGTAGAGTATTCGCAAACTAAGGTACAACATGGGCTTATATATCCACAAAATTGATATTTAAATGTGTACCTGCGCAACGAATCGTTTCCTCAACCAGGCTTCCTCTTCAGAATCTCCCAGCTCATAAGCAACTTTGGCTGTGTCCAAGATGCACCTGATGAGATTTATAGTTTTCTCAGTCCTAAGAAGGCGGCGGGTGAGGAAGCCTTTCGCGTGCGCGGAGACCTTGCACCAAACTTTCTGTGATTTGGGATCCAACGCCTGAAGAAAAAGAACATCAAAAAAGCCTTTAACCACATGGCCTTTAACATTCCACTTCCAGCATTGACGTACTTCTTCAGGAACGTAAATGAAGGACACGGGTTCTTCGTGAGGAGGAACCGGAGTTGCAAGAGAATCTTCCATGGTGAGCCCATCCAATGTTGATGCAAACGATGACCGTGTTCCCGGAATTTTGCTCAAGCCGGGTTCATCGGCGATGCACTGTTTCCAAACCGAACCCGGTGTTCTCTGCAATCGAAGAATAATTTAGTTGGTCTTGTCTGAATAAAATCTAAAATACAAGGGCTGTCAGTCTGGTTTCCGCGCAAAATGAAGTGTCCACAAGAAAATGGATTGCAATAATTTTAAGGTGATCTGATCACAACAAAATTTAGTTAGTATTCCACAGACATACAAACACGTTCCATCTCATCGCAAAAAATGCTTCGAAAATCAATGGAAAATGCGTGTGGAATAACGTAAATCGTAGCAGTCAAATTTATTCTAACACAAGAATTTAATCAATGCAGATAAATATCCTCATACTGATCCAAGAATGCAGGACTTCAGAAGTTTAAATTACAGTATACTTGAAAACAGGAAATAGTTCCAGAACGGTCTGGGAATCACCGAATACCGGAAAAATGGAATTAAATATGTTATGCAGTAATGCAACAGCATGTCTCGGAATTTTCAAAATAAATTAAACAAAATCAGCACAAAAATTGGTGTACATACTTTCTTCTCCGATTCAGCAAGGAAAAATTTCAACCCATGCTTTTCTTTGAGGAAAAAACTCACGGATTCGTGGATTTCAGCCATCCGATGTTCGTATTCGTTGTCACGCGCATCGGAAATTTTTTCTGAAATGCCGCTTCTGTCGTCCTTCAAACTTGCATCAGTTCTAGCAGAAGTAATGACAGAACTTGCTTTTCGAAACTCTGAATCGTCGTTTACAACGGAGGCATCCGGAGTCTGGGAAACTCGACAGTTTCCTTCCGCTGACGATGGACAAGTCCGTTGTGTTGCAACCGATGAGTTCTGTCGATCCTGTGGAAATTTGAATACGACCAAAATGCATTAATCTTTCAAAATATTCCGTAATTACGACAGTTGGTTAAAATGTTCCGCCAGTCTTCACATCACCTCTTTTCAGGATTGAATATTGAATCTTTCCAGACAATAATTTCCACTTTTTGCCCTCCAAGGTAAAAATACAGTACTTCAAATTAAAATGAAAGAGTTCTTCAGACAACATCAGTCAGTGTGCAAAAAGTTCTTCAACATATAGACTTCGGTGGAAATGAATTCTTAATGACTGAAAAAAGGCTTGCCTTATATTTATCTAACAGTGCTCCAAATAATCTTGTTCAATAAATTCAGGTACATAAATACGAAGGTACTTGAACTTCAACGAGAAACCTAATTTTCAGGATGAAGAAGTGGATCGAATCAACGCAGTTAATTGAATGACTTCCAAGAAAAGTTAATTTGGAATTTTAAACGATTGAAAGTTTTTTTTTCCACTCAAGAAGCTTTCGGGAAATATTTCATATCAGCGGCAAATCTTTTGAACCAAGCCTCAAGAAATTAAAAATGAACTCACTTGAATTGAAGAACTTTGCTGGAGCCCGAACCGCATCCAAAGTTCCTCCATTTCAGTTTGCTGCAAAATTTTAAGCTTTTCCAGTTGATGGGCGTGTTTTCTAGCCATTTCCGCGAAAAAGTCGTCACGCATACGCTTTACAGAATCATCACAAGTGCTTTGAGACATCTCGACGACTTGACCATTTGGCCGATGTTTTCCAGCAGCGGATTCTCGAACGGGTTCTTCATCAAAGTAGATCAGTGGTTGATTCGGACATGGCTCAGAATCAGTCACTTGTTCGGCAGCAGATAGTCTTTCTGAATGACCAACAATCGCAGAAGCATCGGTTTCTCCATCAGACAAATTACAATCCACCGGGGTTTCCGCGGAAGGAATTGTTAACGATGACAATATTTCCTGAAAGGCTTTCCTGTGATTAACCAACGGCTGCATTGAAGACAAGTTCACTTTCAACGCGGATCTTGGAGAAGCAGGTGCGCGAATCCTTGAAACATCCGGATTTGTAGATGAAGACGTGTTTTGCGAAGCGAGAGAACCGTTCATGTTTCCGTTGATATCTTGATAAGCTCGACTACCTCCGCCATTTTTAATTAAACCGGTGACGTGATCCGTCATGGCGGTTCGGAATGGACTCGGGGGTTTCACATACGGAGGAGTGACTGGTTTCAACTTTTGGGGCATGGGAATAGACCTGGGAAGTATAGAACGATTTTAATTTCCTAGTAACGAAAACACATTTTCAACATATGCAAAAAATATAGTAACGAAGTGGAATTCAAATTCTGTGCAACAAAAATGAAGCATTATCCAGTTAACATTCTGTCGACTGTTATGCCAAGACAAAGTTTCCTACGAAATCTTCCGTGAAGAAATCGTGACGTTCCGAAAACAATTTCAACTCATTTTCATTAGTTTAGAGTAGCTTATTTTCTACAATTTCCGCGTTCCTGTGGCCTGTAGATTTATTCGTCTTTTCTCAACAAACGCCTGCAGATAAGAATTGATATAATTTTAAGATACCATCTTACTTGTCAATATCCATCGCCATGTCGATATGATCAACGAGATCATGAATCTGAAGAAATCTTGAAGTCTCCGGCAAAATCTCCGTCGAAAGGTTTTTGTTGGCTTCAGTTTTGCCCACAGAATTTTTTCTTGAATTTCTCTCAGGTCTCAAAGGCCTGTCAAAAAATACGAATGCATTTGATTAAAACCACCAAACGCACAATGCAGTTAAATCACGAAGACGTCTGACCTTCAAAAAATATGATTTCGATTTTTTTTAAACATGAGGATAGAACAAAACTAGCTTGAATATTTGTTTTGCGATTCATTACTTTCAAACGAGAACTCGCGGAAAATTTGCATCCACGGAGATTCCTGACCTCCTCACCTCGCAGTCTGTCTAGAATAAAATCCTAATAGAGGGTCTTCAGTCAAATATTTCGGTTTCCCAAGGTGATAAAGGACAATATCAGCGTTCGTATTAGGGCCAATTCTTACCTTTTCATGCACAAAGGGCAAATAATGAATTACAGTAATTGACAATTTTTTGTATATTGTATTTTAATTAATTCTATCTTTCCTGTTCGTTTTTCTGGGTTTATCACGAAGCACGTAAAATTTCCAGCTGGAGCCCTTCGACAAACTCGGAAAACTTGCTGAAAACTGTCACAAAATATTCTAAAGAAACTTACTCTTCAATGCCGAGGACTCCATTAATACTGTCAGTCAGCAACTTTCTGTGCAGGAAATCCAACGCAGTTCCCGAATGTTCCTCTGGCATCTGATTGATTTTCTCACTGTCTTGAAAATGTGGCGATTTATCAGAGGAAATTGATACATGATCGGGAATCACAGGAAACATTTCTGGAATTCCGCTCACAGAAATTGATTTCGGACTAGTATCCTTCGAAGGAACGCATGGAATCGATTCGAATCCCATCAAAGAAGCGGCAACATGGCCTCTTTTCGGATTAGAGGCTAATTTTAGCGCAATTGCGTTTTCGGCCGCATTACTAAACATCTCCGAATGACGACGAATTGTCGAGGCGACGCTCGCGTCATCAGATTCAGGTCCAACATTTTTGATAATTTCAACTTCCTCCGCTGGTTCCAGCGATTCATCGGTTTCCAACTGTTTTTCGGCAATTTCTGAGGGCATTTCAGGCTCAACTATCGGGAGATTTTCTTCAACACATTCGATCCGTTTACTTCCCATTTCCATGCTGGTTTCACGATCAAGATTCTCTTCAACACGTTCCATCAGCTTATTCCCGATTTTAAGTCTGCTCTCACAAGCAACGGCTTCCGCTTTCCACTTGCGCATTTCATCTCGACGTTCCGTCGTCATCTGGAAAGTTCAATTGAAAAGATTCACGCTCAATTCTACTGACACCGGGAATTTCTCATCGGCTGTTAACTCACCAGAGGTGGTAGCAATGGACGACCATTGATTCTTATGAACGATGGCATGATCCAAAAAGCATTCACACACGGAAAAAATACAGTAAAAAAAAAACCAACTGCACCAAAAAATGTTCTGAAAATAAATATAATGTTATTCAATTCTGGAGGAGCATCTGAACACTCGCCAAAGATGGGATGCTCATGAACACAAAAACGCAAACGAAGAAATACATCTATTGCACCATCATGAAAACTAGCATTTAAAAAAATGGCCCCATCGAATATCATTTTTCCGATTGAAAAATGCCTTTCAAATCGACCTTATTCTGCTGATTCGACGAAGAAGCAGCAGCAAATTCAGAGCGAAGACTGGTTGACTCGGATTGTTGTGGTCTTCCGCCTCTTGGCCGCGGGGTTTCAAACTTACTTAAATCGATTCCTTCTTCGGAATTTATCGCTGCGATTGTGGCATCGAACACTTCATCTTCACCGAGTCCCTTGTTTTCAGATCGCTGAGTAACTTCGTAGTACTTCGATAGGAAGCGTTCACTTAGCGTCAATCCAGGTCGAGCGTCGTTCAGATGAATTGCTGGCACATGTCGGAAGCGTTTGTAAAATTTCCTAAAAATTTATTGATAAATTTCGAAAACAAGGTTTGTCCCAGTTCTGAGCAGCCTCGAGTATTTCAACGATAGTTAGCGATATTACAGGATATGTCACTGCTTATAATACAGTATCATCTTCGGCTTCCCGCTAATTTTAAATAAATTTTACAGATGATTCTTCATCACGGTTAACATTCCAGAAAAGAAGGCCAAACCTTTAATGAAGCAGAATTGATATTTCAAAAAATTGTGCCATAAAATTAAAGAAAAAATTTCCAACGCACAACTGCAAAAATGCGGCAGACAAATGGAAGGAGAACTTACGCCCTAATGATGTCTTCTTCGTAGAAAATTTGTCGGAGAGATTCCTTCGCCACAGGAACTTGTCGGTCCACGCGGGGTTCGAATCGAGGTGGGAAATTGCGATAGATTTCAAACCACAGCGGTTTTTCGCTCTCCTTCATGGCACCAGACTTGATGAGTCCGGCAGCTCTGAGGAATTGAAAATGCGATGTTAAAAAAAAGAAAATTGACAAGAGAATTGAAATTTTTTAAATTTTCTAGCACCAGATATCCCCAATCTGAATTTTACCGTTACTCCACACGACTGATCGTATGAACAGAAAATGACCATCATCTCTCGGAGGTATACAAGCATTGATCACAGGCATCACATGAAAATTTATCAACTCACCGCGTGAAGATGGTCCCGATTTTTTCCAATCTACTACTCGCCATTTTGAGGCGAAGAAGAAATTCTGCAGGAAACGCAAAAAGAAATGTTATCAAATGCGAAATGAGCGAAAATTAGTCATGAACAAATCGCAGAACAGAAGTTGGCAAAAATGAACAAGATGATCGTATTTGTCATCACGCAATTGAGATCACGTTCACAAGTCACAAAAGAAGCACTTTGGACGGAAAATATACACAGATTCAGTTTAGTGCGGACGGTTCTTCGAAGATCTTCATTGGATATATTGCCCAGATTTCTGACTTTTTCAATGCAGCACAATGAGAAAAAAATTGGCTGATCAATTTCAATTTAGACCAATAAATAAGCTGCTAATATCGAGCTACACTAGTTCATCGGGTGGATTACAAATCCAAATGCCACGGCAAAACAATAATTATTCTTTGTCCAAATTCATCGCAAATAAAGAAAATCTCGGTTTCCCAACGTCTTCCGTTTGAAGCCTTTCTGGTTCAACTTGTTCTACCCGAGAGACATTTTCCACTCCTGTATTCGTCCCTTCTGCGACGTCTTTGACGGGTGGCACGTCGACGTTTTCATCACGAGTTACAATATTCGGGTCAGCATCCGACAAAGTGGCCCTCAAACTTGGCACAAACGACGCTTGGGACAAACGAATTTCCGGTTCCAGGAATTTTACCCGGGCTCGGGAGAGTACATCCAAGGCGGAAGGATTGAAATCCGGTCTCGCCAAACGACGCCGCCAAGTTGCTAAATCCGCGTCTAAATCCTTCACTTCTTCTTCGAGCTCGCGCATTCTGCGCTGAGACTCTTTGATGAAGTCTTCGGTTGAGCTTTTCGAAGTATCGTTGCTGGATGAGGAAGACGAGGGCAAAAATAATTGCCGCAATCCTGAAGCCGCTGGCTCCTGGGCTTGATCTCTCAAAACTTTAGTCAAATCGAGTTTCTTCTCCAGAAGTCTGCGACGGGCAGTCGCATCGTAATATTCTGACCTAAGGATTTCCAAATAGAAAAAAAAATTAACCCTCTGAACAACTTCCAACAATCTGTGTAAATAAATTACGGGATTTAAATTCGATCTACAAGGTAATGTAGGCGGAAATGTATTCGTGAAAACAATTGATCTCGACATCCCCAATATACAGTACAGGTGGACTCTCTCGACAACGAAATTCAGCAGTCCAGAAAAGAGTTCGCTGCAGAGAGAATTTCGTTTTAGAGAACCTTTATAACACGGGTTGAAACCCGTGTGTGACGAAAAAAAATCTCTATACCAAGAAAATTGTTAAGGGACAAAATCGTCATAGAGAGTCTACCTGCATACTGGATTTCACACCACTCAAAAGCATATTCTTTTGTTCTCACTTCGAAGTTTAGGACGCGGATTATAATTTTAGTCCTTTTCATTGCGTTGAGATAACCGGAATTACTGTATATCACGCTGCGTAAGGAGGTTAAAAAGGTTACATTAGGATATTTTCGGTAAGAGGAGAGATTCCAGGAACAAAACTTCAATGAATTTCCGAAGGTCAAGGCGGAAACGTTTGTGAAAAGAATCTAATCCTACCTCGACAGTCAAGCGACGTACAGTATTTTCGAAGATACAAAATCATATTTAATCTTCGAATCCAGAAACACCATATTTACCTCATGTGTTCAAGCTGAGCTTGAGCGTCAGATAATTTTCGCTCGAGTTCCCCCACGAGTTTGGTAGCGGCTTCAATGTCTGATTTTTGATGAGTTGTAGCCTCAGACAAATGACACAAACCTTCTTGTACTGCTTTCATATCCATCCTTAAAGCCTCGTCTCTTTTCGAGAAAGCGTTTTCGATTATCTGCTGTAAATCTGGCTCAGCGGGACGGTTAGAATGAACACTCCTAAAAATCAAACGTGGATGACTTTAGTCGTGAACGCGTTATAAATACTAATCAGTATTGAAAACTGACTTCTCCGGTTGAGTAGATTCAGCTAAAGCTTCCTTGAGTCGTTTATTTTCGTTCTCTAAGGCACCAACGGCCTCGTGAAGCGTATTCATCAGTTTGTTCAAGCTTTCCACTTCCTTCAGCAGCTGTTCTCGATCATGCTTTTCCTCAGTGACCCTAGATGTTGAAACACCATAATTTCAAAGACTCACGATGATACAAAAAACATGTAATTCACCTCATAAACTCCTCTTTTGTTTGGACAAGAAGTTCATCCAACTCAGTTTCTTTCTGAGCTATGCGGTTCTTCCTCACGGACAAGCGCTTGCTTATGGTCTATGACGGCAAAAAATGGTTGGAAAATGATTTTAACAAGTGAGGCGAAGTTTTAGTATGCGATCTACCAGGAAATGTCATCTAAGACCAAAATTTGCGCTGACATGGGATACACTGCCTTCGAACAGGTCCAGACTTTATATTTTAAAGATGAATTGGACGCATAAGTTACATTTCTTGATTACAAATAACTTCAAAGTGGGCTTCCAGTTGAACTGAAAATATGAATTGGATGCCACCCAGAGAAAAAAATTTAGGCAGACGGTCAGCAAAATAAGAAATTCTCCCTTTTAAATGGCCAGTCCTCCAAATAAAGGCACGTCACAAATTTTCTGAACAAATTTCAAACCTAGCTGAAGCCCTAGAAAATGTCTGACAGTAATTTCTACAGATACTGTACTCACCATTGAAACAAGAGAGCGAAATATGATCTCGGTTGCAAAAGCTTCACATACTCAAATTTACGATTTTTCGAACACAAATTCATGTTGACCACATAGATTTTCTCAGAAATATCTCAGACATACAGCCTTCAATTAAAACTTCAAACGATTCACAGGACTCTTATTTCCTGTACTTTTTTTTTTAGTTTTAGTGAGAGATCACGTACAATATTAGCGACAAGAAAATTGCACTACAAGAAATTAAGATTTCTTCAGGACATGACGATAAATTCCTGAGTACGATTTAAGGGTTACTCACCTCCACTTCAGCTAATTTCGCAGCCAGTGTTTTCTCAGAAATCTCTAATTCTCGAACAGCTTCCGTGACAGCTAACTCATGATCCTCTCGCTGATTTTCAAAGGTTTCCTGTTCACACCGAAGCTTCTGTTCACGTTCCTTCAGATACGCAGCGCGTTGGTCCAAATCTAATTCCGTTTGTTTCCGTTGCCAGTAAACTTCTTCTAAAATCTTCGCGCGTTCTTCTTCACGGATGGCGACCCTTTCTTGTTCCCGAAACCTGATTCACACACATTTTGTCATTGCATTTTTGCTACGGGCATGCAATCGCAATGCAGAACACACTTTTCCAGATCAGAGTGCATCCTAGATTTAATGACATCTTGAACGGGCGACGAACTTGAGGCAATAAATTCCTTGCTCACGCGGACTTTGCTCATGTATGCATCGATCTCTGAAAGCTTTTTCAAAGTTTCAACGTTGTAGTCACCAGTTCTTGATTTCCATCCTTCCAGAACCTGCAAATTTACGGCATTAATAGGCATTTTTGCAGATCTTGAGAGAAGCAGGACCAACGCCATATTCAGTATACTTATTAAAGTGGATATGAGACGCCATTGATCTTTACACGCAAATCAATTTCATCAGCCTCTCCCACCAAACAAAGTTTTACGGAAAATTTAAGCCCTACTTCTTTTTCCTCCTGCCAACAACTCAATTTTTCAGCGTGGACCAAGACGTGCGCGAATTTTCAATATTTAATATATGCAGTACTGTACTCCAAAGCAATAAATAGCAAAGAATAGCAGAGAAAGGCTTCCTTCATTGCGCTCAATTTCCAAAGAAAATTTTCCTCGGAAGAGTCGGAACACAACTACTACCTGTCCTAGAAAAATTATTAACTCTGCGTCGGAAAAAGTAGCCCACATTTTCAACATTCGAGACTTGAGTAACCGACAGATTACGTTTCAAACTCATAGAACAATCATTTATGGGGGTATTGATCATTTGAGAGGTTGTACATTTTCAAGACTGAATAACCTAAGGAAAGTGCGTTTCACACTGTGAAACACTAAGGTTTCGCAAACAAACATGAATCGACATTAAGATATGATCTGTCTTTCGAAAGAATAGGAAACCTGAGTCTCACATTCGCCTGAATACTCCCACGGTAATTCCGAAACAGTTGACAAGGAGGTACAAACCTTACGGCTATGAATCATCACACATTCCAATAGTGAGCCACGATTTGCCCGATAGTCTGCATGCAACGCCAGGAATTGCTGCTCTCCTCGCTTGAACCCTACTTCCGCCAAAACGTTCTCGACCACCAACGGAGAAATCACGAGTTGCTGTTTATCTGACGTGGTGCTTAGTCCAGGAAGTTCATCGAGGAAAGGTGCTTCGGATTTGAAGACTGACAGAGAAAAGCAGCATCCTTTTTGCAGCATATGCTCGCCAATGAGCCAGTTGATAGCACGAGTGGAGGTAGGCCAGACAATCTGGTTTTCTCGCAAACTCTCCGCCGCCAGCTCAGGATCTTGGAGAAGCATGGCCATTTTTTGGCGAAAAAAAAGCTGCATTTCTTTCAATATTCCCCTCTCTTCCAGCCTACAGAAAATGGATAATAAATGTTATTTGGCGCAATAAAAATTAAGACACTCGAATCACTATACCATCGTTCAAATCTTTCACGCTGATTTCCCCCTCCGCCGAGTTCTCTTCCGATTAACAGCTCCATTTTATCACGTAGAAACAAGGGCACTCAATTGAAAATCATTCGGAAGACCTTAAGAAGCACACATTCCTCATGAAAAGAATCAATCGATGAATGAATCAAAAACGAATTTCAACCCCATCGCGTATATTCAATTTCAAAACGGCGAAAGAAATCACGCGGTGAGTACACAAACACCCCCAATGGCCTTGATCTTTTCCTCAGCTCTCCTGGAGAAAAATTTCGCTTTCACGATGACCGGTTGCTTGGGCAACAAACCCTTTCCAAGAACTTTTGAAAACCCCTGAAATAAATAAAATTACGGCACGGGATTAATAAAATCACCATTTCGAAATAATTCAAAGCACTCACGGATTTGACGACGTCGATTACGGGGGCTTTGCCATCTGGATGGTTTTTGTAAGTTTCCCTGGTTTTCTCCGACACTAGCGACCAAATCTTGTCCAAGTTGATAATCGGACACCAATCCATCGACGCTTTCACGTGAAAATTTCTCATCCCAATCTAGAGAGTGGAAAAATTCTAGTAAGGCATGCGTCAATTTCGATAAACGAATGAATTTACTTTTCCGAAGTAACCCGGGTGATATTTATCGAAATTGATTCGATGATGATGCTGACCACCAGCGTTACCACGCCCTCCAGGATGTTTACGATGCTTCCCTGTAAAATACAATTTTTATAGTCAGCATATGATGCCACGAACAACCAGCCTCTAACACATATTCAATAATGAAATGCTACGCACCAATGCGACCGTGCCCATGGCTGACATGTCCGCGCATCTTTCTGGTCTTCTTCTTGTTGGTAGACTACAGAAAACAAAAAATAAGCAATCGACATATGAAGCCAAGCGACCAACGTTGAACAATGAAAATACCCTGCACTACGATAGGCAACAAGCATCGATGACCAATTGGATCACAAGATCAACGTCTTTTTAAATTTCTCTTCACTTTCCTCAACTATTTCCTGGTTTCAGAAGTGCATTGATTAATACCTATCTACTAAATCGCATTTCATATGAATACAAAATGATCAAGGCGTTTTCCAAAACGGAAATCGATCATTCTAAATGTGCAGAGGACTTTTGCAATTCGTGTAAAAACTGGACCTCCAAAGCGACGCAATCGGGGAGAAAACAAAAGAGACAGGGGTTAAATATTATGAAAAAATTGGCCATGATTGAGTCTCGTAAATAACAAAAAATAGCAGGGACTCACCCCCATTTCTGTCCAAGATTAGGTTTTGACGAACGAAGAATCCAGCCGACCTGAATAAAGAAATTATATCAACCTGAAATTTAGAAAGAAAATTCGCTGAACCACGTTCACTGCACAGCGGATGATAACACTAGAAACACGAAAGATCAGACGATGGACTTCTATTGTTTTGCAAGGAAACGTATCACAAATCCACATCATCAAATCACGTCAATAGAGAACACCATCGGAGAAGACATCGGGGGGGTATTTTCGGCAGCACCCCGACGAAATCCTTCGAAAACGAAGCACCATGAACAGTAACGTACCAGTATACTGGTGTGTTACCGGCAAGTTCCTGCAGCTGATACGCGCGGTGCGCAGGAGTCATCATGTCGCCATACTCGGCATGCAGAACTAGGGGGAGCCGTTCACATCTGGGAATGGAGGTTTCGGGTTGAGCTTTGTCGAACAGCATTCCGGTGATGTATACTTACGGGGATGGTCTTTCAGCGCAGCAGGTGTACTCCGTGGCAATTTTTAAAGCAGAATTAAATCCTACAGGGAATAATGCTTATTCAGTTCAAAAAATGCAGATCCGCGGAATGCGTTCAATAGCTGATAGCTCAAAGTAACTTCACACTTCCTTAGGTTGAGTTATGAATGAATACATGATGAATAAAGATGTTTTTATATTTTTTGGTTAACTCTTAAATGCGAGTTTTTTTTAAATATGGGGAAAACAAATTCTTATTCGGGTAATAATATAAAATGCACATTTTTCAGGTGGCTGAAAATCATACTGCATCTGTGCCTATTCTTCTAGTAAAAATTCCCATGCAGCATATTCTACAGTAAATATATATGTATATACTCTATATAGTCTTCAGCAATCCTGTCTCTACAAGTGTGATCCATGCACCTTTATACTGTACAAAAATAAATAAATCTCAAATTATTTCTGGCATGAATCATGCAAATATTTTTGTATTATGTAGTCCTGTTTTGAAAGATAAAGGTAATTTTAGTTTAATATTTTTTTCTGGAACAAATTAATTTTTTTATAATGTAACCTTAAGGGGAATAGGGTTTCAACTTATGACGGCCCCATGTTATGACGTCCATCCTGGAACAGATTGATGACGTAAGATGGGGGCCCACTGATATCAGAAGTCGTTAGGACAGAGATGTTCACACTAGGTACGTGGAAATATGACATGTTTTTATTTATTTAGAGTTTAATAAAGACCGTACTTAGTACGTTTATAAAAACATAATACATCAGGACAACCTGTCACACAATAAAAATTAAAAAAAATTTAACTGACATGCTGCTTATTAAATCATATCGAAGCTTATTTATAACTCATGAATGAGATAATCTGTCTGTAACTGATCATATATAACATGATAAAATGCTGTGCGCTTTCATTTCTAATTATAGACATTTTTGTTTGAATTTTATTGACCAATTTTGTTTAAACATTTTTGACTCGTATATAGACAGCCACCCTTTCCACCCTCCTCTATTATTCCTCTCCTATAATCACGATTTTTTTGGAAATTCACATGGTCTGTATATATGCTGCAGTAGTATAGGCCCTCTCCTATACCATATTTATATTCAAACACAGTCTTGTGACATGTTTAAATTTCTCAAAAAAAAGAGAAAAAAGATATGTTAAACCTTTTTTTTTT